GTTATGACCTCTTTTCAATTTCATTAAGAATGACCAGTCACGTGGGTAGCGCTAGACACTTTTGGTTATTTTGACACTAACTAACAAGTTAAGTAAGTAATTGAGATTTATTCCGTCTGAAACGTGATAACGGCCAATACAGTCTGGAACAGGAGATCAATTGAATTAATCTTGTTCAGAATCTGAAATTAATTAATATCTTCAAACCTAACTTTATAGTAGAATCAACTGTCCATTGTGGCAAGAAAAGTAGGTATTTTCATTGTATTTGTGTTAAATAAAGACTGCTCATTCTGACTGCACATTTGTGTTCAGATTATCTTTATTTCTCGCGGACTCAGTTACTCAAAGAATACAGATTTATTTTGCAGTAAGATATCCTGGGGAATCTCCAGTTATTCAGGTGACCTATCTTGTCACTCTTAGGGGAAACCAGTACTATATGAAAATACCACAACAATATATTTAGCATTGGATAAGCAGCTATGGACACAATCGCAGTCTTAACTTAATGAATGTTATCTTTAAAATTATTTTTCCAAGCATTAAATACCTGAATATAGCATATTTTTTGAATGCGTCATTTTACCACAGATTAAAAGTCTTAAAACAAGTTAATTGCAAAGATTATGAAACGGCTTTTAATGCAGTAGCTTTTATCATAAGCATTTTTTAATATTTATTGTATAATAGTATTAATAGGACAAAAGTAGGCAGTAAGCACCTATATAAAATATTTAGGTACCATAATATCCCAGCTACAAACATAATATAATTTACTGTTAATGCTATAAGCGGGGGTTTCTGTCATGACCGAAGTTTGTGCGCTTTGTCGGTTGGCTTGTTCTCAAAACACGTACAAATATGTTATTCCACATTTTATGAGCTACATCACCGACTGACGACATAAAACTAAATATTATAAGGTAAGAAAAGAACGAGTCGACTGGCACGAGTGCTTTTTGCAGCTGCTTCTATGATATACCTCCCGTTGCGTTTACGTCACAGGAGGTCGCCACTGAGCTGATAACATCTGTGATTCACTAACATCATGGCAAGACTCCACTGTTCATAAAAAATCTGGGAAGCTTCATCACAAAGTTCTCATGGGAACTCAGTTTTAATTAGTGTCCATCTAAGCTTCTTATGGGTTGTTGAAGACGGAAAAACGGCGCCCATTATACGAGAAAAGACGCAGAAATGTAGAATACGTTTAGAAGTTTTAATGGAGTTTTGAACTTTAAAAAAGTCGCTACAGTATTTTCGTTAACACCCGCTTATTTTTACTAAAGATGCAAATCATATTAAACTCACACATTATTACGCTCTGTTTACAAATCTCCATTCTTGGATATCGAAGTATTGTTTAGGAACTTCGAATTTTGTTATTATTTGTTTTCCACTTTCTTGGTACTGTATTTTTAAATGTACTACGAAACCAAAATCCTTTACTTTTGTTAACAAATAGAAATATTAATTTCTTTGTTTTAGAAAGGTGCTGTGATTTTCGAAAGCTAGTCGTCGTTACCTAAGTTCTGTTCATTTATAGGGCAATCTGCACTCTGTCCACTGCGGGAAATCGAATCCAAGATTTTGCCGTTGTAAGTCTGTAAACTTACCGCTGACCAACCAGAGGCCCCATACAGAAGTCCAACTACCAAAGATAGAGCTGGCTATATCATCTGTTCTCATTTGTACAAGTACAGAGATTGCATATTGGTTGGCTAGGTAGAAACATATACTCTAATGAAGGAGAAAAAGAAATAGGCAAAAGGAAATAAAATACTATAAAAACAAATTAGTAGTTGTTTTAGGACTACATATATATTCGCTGGCGTTTCTAAAGTATAACGTTTAAATTACTGATAACTATTTAAGTATTGGCTTATTATCAAATCAAGACATCTAAACAAGAATATAAAGTGGCGAAAGTAAGGGTTGTGCGTGAACTACATATTTGTCTCTTTATGAGTTAAAAGGGAAGCGTTCAATATTAATATCTCCCTACATATGAACCAGCCTCTGGATGCTGCTGTTTCCTCAACATTGGTAGCTTGATAGCTCCAAATAAAATGCACAGATTCAGTTCATAACGTATTAAAATAAGTCCTTTTGTAATTAAGCTACTTTGGTAGTGGTTAGTGCATTAAAATATGGGCTGAGTAAAAGTATGTTGCTATTATTACTCTTTAACAGTTTTAAAATTGTTCGGTGTATATATTTGTGTACTGAAATAATTCAAATATTGTTCGAACAGTTTAATTTTCCAATAATGTATTATTAGATATGAAATGCGTCTCAACGTGGGCTATTGGACTTAGTCTTTATTTTGTTTTAATATCAATGTATCGTTTAATAAACTGTTCGAACAAAATTAAACGATAACTTGATATTTAAATAAGAAAGACTTAGTTAATAGGTCACGTTCAGGCCCACTTCATATCCAACCAAGAAATTATTGTAAAATTAAATTTCAGAGCGTATACCCTAGTCCTTCTGTCTGATTGTTAGTTTCCGCATATTAGCTGTGCCACATGGCACGTGACACCTGAATAGTGGCGCTTACCGTCACGTGCAGTGTTCCCGAACGATCACGAGGAGAAAACGAGCGGAACGAATTACACGGGGCGTTCAGTGGGGTTGAAGTGGACAATTATTATCCTATTTTTCCAAACCAAAGAACTATTGTGGTAAATCACCTCCAGGTTTATTGGTCTTTTCCGATACATATGGTATTGTTAAGAATGAATATTGTGGCGTTAAGCACAAGCGGATGTTGATTGATTATTCACACTTTCCGCCTTTTACATGGGTTTATGGCAAGAGTGTGCGTGGGGGTTATTTCTTAGTTCCACGCCATCAGTGTATCTTTGAATACAGAGGCAGTGTAAAAAGTCACACAACTGCAATATTATTTCTTCAGTACGTCACATTAAGATGTGTGCTCTTATATTAAAAACTAAAGTAAATGTGTAAACTATTTAAATGCATTAATTTTTGTAGCCTCACCCTATATTTTTATCTATGTAAAGAAACGTGTATTCCATATAGTGGGAAAGCGAAATTGTAACAATAAATATAAAAGTTTAAAACAATCTGGAAAAAAAAGTATATAATTTCCACTAAAGCACCTTTTTTTAATGGGTTGGGTTTTACTTAGTGGTTAACGTACCAGACTATGAACCTGAAGGTCCATGGTTTGCATACATTCGCCGCAAAATCGTGCTTTGTATTTTAGGTCTGTGGAAACTTCAAATCCCAGTGTTAGTCTGTTTGAAGTTAAGCACAAAGCTACATAATGGGATATTTGTGTTCTGCCCACCACGGGTATCTATACCCGGTTTCTAGCGTTGTATGTCCGTAGACATTCCGCTGTGCCACTGGGAGGCCCCCAGTATTAGATTAAAGTATCCCAACGGTTGACGGTGGGCGCTGTTGTCTAGCTGCTATCACTCTCGTTTGCCAGTTCAAAATTAAAATCCGGCTATAGCGCAGATAATGTTATGCAGCTTTGGGCGAATATTATTTATTTGAATATTCGCCCAAGGCTAACAATTTAATAAGCTGATATTTTATTGGAATTGAATAAGGTCAGAGTTGTAAAGTAATTTATATTAAAAGCTGAGTTATTCATTTTGAATTATATAAAACCGTGGATCATTAAAGAAAATACAAGGTCGAACCCTGTAGTTTATTTTTATGTTGTTGTTTTCGCGTATTTTGTAATGTAGTGGAGTTTCTTAATTTTCTTGCGCTCCGCGGAAAAGGATGTGTCTTTAGAAGGAAATATTTTATATAGTCTCACATTAATAATAATTTTAATAAAATTATTTCGTTACACAAACTTCTTGACATTTCTTTATAGTGAGATAAGCCAGATCTCGCTGAAAAAGTCCCCCTTTATGTCCTCAGACCTTACTGTAGAATTAGTACTATTTCTATATGAAAACTCAAAATACGGTATTCTTTAATCAATAATGTGAAAAGAAAAGACAACAAGTAACTTCTCTGTTGTATTTCAATATAAATTAGTATATTTACATGCTTGCATAGTTTCTTCATTTCAAATGGACTTTTCTTATTGTTTAAATCTGAGGACTTTGCTTTGATTCAAGTCTAAAATACAATCACAGCTACTGTCATTCTGTCTCCCATATCTGTTACATTTACTCTTTCAGCTAATGAAAGCTTCAGTTGAGCTTGATAGTGTTATTGCTAAGCCTCTAATTGAAACTGAGTTGATTACATTTTATAAATCTAAATTATATGAGGAAGTACCAAAATTCCGCGAAAAATGCACTAAGATGTAATAATGCTACAACTGATTGATGTAGTAAAATATCGCGAAATATCATAAAAAGAGACAAATTGTCTGTTTTTATCCATGTAAACGAGCAGTTTACTGCAGTAAGACTATCTGTCTTGAATTTAAGTACAATAAAAGACTAAAAACTGAATATAAAACTATGGTTACTACACTTTTAGCTAACGTTTACTTTCGGTAAATATGTTAACATTCAATGTACTCTATAGAGAATTCCATGTTGTTATTGTTTTCTTAATGTAAAGATACACAATGGGCTACCTGAACTTTGTCCACCGCAAGGAATCGAACCCCGGGTCTTACAGAATTTGATACGTAATTATAAATAGTCCATAACCTAGGAGTAGCACGTATCCTAGTTGTATGTGACAAACATCACAGTCTTATGTTTTTCTCGTTTATTTATTTTTTGTGTTATTTTAGTTTACTTCGTTCACATGATTTCCTAATATGTTCTTGCATGGTCACATCAAAAGATGGAACATGTCACAATTCTACCTTTGACTCGTTTTGCGATCACTCCAAACTCGTCTGAGATGTAATCTGAAACTTCTACGCTCGTTGTCAAGTAAAGTTTGAAGCTGAACCAAGCTCCGCTATCATTATAATTTTACATTGCTTCCAGAAAGTGAACGGTTATGAAAAAGTAACAATACATGGGAGCGTAACCACTAACCTCAGGGCAAGCAAGTTTTGTTGGGTTTCCTGGAGTACCATTACGCTCGAGTACAGCGTAGAGAGTACTTGTTGGTCCTTCTCCAATGATCTAATGGATCGCTACAAAACTTCCCATGCAAACAGAGGGCGTCCGTCGTTGTAAGGAATTAGGTGTGAAAAGAAAATTCGAATCACCGAGATCTATGTAAAAATATAAAATAAAAATATGGTAAACTGAAGCGTAATGACATTTTCAGGAATTTTAAAAGAAAATAATAGTTTTCATAAAAGTTATAAATGTTTTATTTTCCACCGTTCCCTCGTTGATAAGCCGAGTATTGTCATATACAGCTGAATAATAAATAAGAAACTCTTGTATAATAGCTTATCTGTAAGCGAAGGAAATATAGAACGATATGACTTTTGTTCTACTTTACAAACAAATGTAGATTTTATAGGTGGAAACTTGAGTTCTCCTTGCTCGAAGTTTTATTCCAACAATAGCAATCTCGAAATTTTACTTTACACCGTTTATCAAAAGTTAAAAATGACAGCAGATTTTAAGCAAAACTGACCAGTATCTTAAAGATTGGCCTTTTATCCTGTGTTTTAAAAGACCGATTGATACGAGAGTTGAGCTTCCCAGTTAGGGAAAACTGGTAATTGACAAAATGGATTGTTCAAAAGTTGCAAAAGTCTGAACACGTGAGGTTACCGATTTGTTAAAATAATGTTATTGAAAGAATGGTCAATAAATAGTGAAAACTGATAGTTTTACACGCGAATTCACCCACAGTTAGAGACTGGTGTGAATAAAAGGAATAATTAAAGGCAAATGCATGTTGTTAATTGAACAAGTTAATTTAGTGAGTGATGAGAAACAGGTGTTGATGATCGAATACGCTATATTACCAGGCGGTGAGTGATAAATTGAGATAAAGATAGTTGAAGGCATGAGCTCATCAAAATGTTAGAGACACTTCCTTATAGTTGAATATATTAGTAGATTGTTAGACAAAACTTCCTTATAGTTGAATATATTAGTAGCCTGTTAGAGACACTTCCTTATAGTGGAATATATTAGTAGCCTGTTAGAGACACTTCCTTATAGTGGAATATATTAGTAGCCTGTTAGAGACACTTCCTTATAGCGGAATATATTATTAGACCTACTACTTAGAGAACATTTTGATAATTGAGCTCGTAGACGCATACACAATTTAAATGCTAATTAAAATGTTTTAGAAAACAAACAAACAATAAGATTGGTTCACATCACTAATAGCTGTTTTCATTGAAGAAATAAGGAGAACTCTTTGTTTGTCCCCTCACTGTTCTTTCTAACACCTGTAAGATGCATTTCAACCTTGGAGGTGTTAACCTGATGAAAAGGAAATGAGTATGACCAGATTAAAGATTTCTTAGGTTAAGGCACAGACACAAGCTGAACTAGACAAAATTCGGCAAACTATTTTAAATTAAACAACGATACACATGGGGATTAAACATTTTTCTTAGACCAATTTTTTTTTTGTAGGGCAAGGCAGAGTGCCTTAGTGTCTGGTGTATAATCCGGCCATGGAAATGAGTGAATTCAGAAGTTGTAAATAGTGTAAATGCTTCCCTCATTGCAGTTATCCCTTAGTGTAGTGTTTTGTCAGCTATAAAGAAGATGTTTTCACAATAAAGACAAAGTGTTGACGGTTTTGATCTACTGTTTTTATTTATTGGTGTTTAAATTGAAGTGAAACAGTATCAACGTTTTTCTCCAATGATTTTTTAAACTCTTCTGATTTTCTGGAATATGGCTTGTTATAATGTGTTTCTTGATGAATATCAGGCTTGTGCATATTTCTCCTAAGAAGGTAATACATAAAATGGTGCAAGGCTTTGATTTCCATGGACACCTACTTTTGGGCTGAAGAAAATCCAGACATGAGGCTGTTTTCTTTTATCAAATGAATTTGATATTATTCTTGCTGAGAAACAATAGTTAGTAAAGGGAGTTCAAAGTCATATAAAGGCCTTGGGCTAGATGCTCATTTACTGTCTCACAATATTCAATACCAAACTTTCTTACCACTCCACTAAGTCAGAGGTTGGGTTCTTAGTACAATTTGCCCTGACTGGAACCTCTCTCTAAGACCATTAGTTCGCACTAGTATTAAGAAATCAAATGTCATATCAAATGAGCTACCAGGACCCAACCAGGTAATCCCTATCCTGACCACTACATTAGATATCATACCTGTCGGAAATTCATATTGTGGTTCATTTTTCTCTATAAGGTATATGATGTTCTAATTGAAATTGAATATGAAATGTTTATTTTAAGCATTGAGATTGCTTCACTTAAGGCTTCACTCTCTAAACACTGTTCAAGTACTTCAGTACCAGAACTGATAACACTAACTGCATCTGTTTGACTCTCACTCTCCCAGTCTACTGGCTGCTCGTTTAGGTTATTTTCTAAGTATTTTTATTTGTTTTTGGATATTTGTTCAAAGCTACTTAGGAGCTATCTGCACTAACCTACTTGCTAATTTTGAAATGATACACTAGAGGGAAGGCAACAGCAGCTATTGTAAACTCTTAGGCTATGCTATATCGATACTTGTATGTGTAAACCACGAAGTAAACTATACAAATGGTCAAAATGTAAAATATTAATTGTTAATTTTACATATTCAAACAAAGAGCATTGTTTATTATTGTTATTGAAGTGAAACCATAAAGTTGACTTTAACGACAACACAAAACTAATGTTGTATTAAGAACTGTATTAATATGCTTCTATAACATGATCCAGCTTAATATTCAACAACACATTCTGATGGTTTGCAAACGAGCCACATAACAAAACATTTCCACGCGCACAACAGATGAGCTCATTGCCCACCCAATGACAAAATTTGGAACAATTCGCACCTAGCTATACACTTTATAATTATCTGCCCCTATTGGCAAATCATGAAACTATCCACCCTCTAGCGCCACTTTGTGAAATTATATTTTCACGTGATCACTCGGGCTTAAAGGATAACCTCACCTGCTGAGTGATCCCTTCCCCAGTCCCCAATGAAGCTACTTCTTTGAGCGCCAAACAGGCTGGTTAACTACTCCCCAAATTGCAGAGCGCGATTTTTTATTTATGTTTTCTGGAGAGGAGCTTGTACAACGTTCTTGATTGCTTTCTGTGCCTTAGCAGCAAGTCTGTGGACTTATCCCAGTAAACAACTTAGGTTTCGATACTCGCAGTAGGCATAATACAGATAGCTTATTGTGTAGCTTTACACTTAACAACAAATAAATGCTCTTGGTTTTTCCAGATGATTACCTATGGTTTTAGTCCAACGAAAATTCTCGAAGCTTTGAATGCACTTGTGGAATATATCACTTATTAGCGAATTAACTGTCACATGATACGCTTGAATTAACCATCACATGATACTCTTATACCTTCAGAATACTCTCTCTCCATGAAAGCTCAAGAATACGCGTTGATATAATTTGTTTAAAATGCCGTTGGACAACGTGGGTTTCGCTAGAAAGTTCAGACTCCAGTAAGGATATATCAAAGCTCCAAAAGCGAGATTCTAAAAACATATATACATATATTACTAAACGTTTTCTAATTACCAAAATATAACTTTGAATTTAGAGGTATTTAATTAAATGACTTAAATATGTTATAAGAAATCATATGTGATCATGCAAGATAATCAGACTGTCGTGCCTGCATTAAACACACGTCTATACTTGTTTCAACTTCGACGTGTATTTTTTATATAGTATAATAAATATCATGCTTCAGTTAGTTTGAAGAGTTATTTCATAAATTTTGGCAAGAAGTCTTCCCATAACTAATGTTGTTGTTTTTATTTTGTTTTTTCAAACTCTGCCATCAAGTCTGGCATTTAGCGGCTTAATAAAGATGATAAACTAAGATAATTTGTTATAATAAATATTTATGCACACACACACTACATCTCGATTCAAGTTTAGAATATTTTCAATGTTGTTTTACGATTGTTTATGTACTTTATCAATTTTACAATTCATTTGGCAACTCACCCTGTAATACAGTGTTATTTATAATTGTGATTTCATATTGTACAGAATTATGCTGTGTTCGAGCATTCAAACAAGTCTCATACTTTATTTATTAGCTTTCTAGCAGTATTGTTTGCTTGTTCATGTCACATTTTGATTAATATTAAACGTTCTTATCATGTGGGCTGCACTGCTGGTAAACTATTCGTTTGATCATTATATTCTTGCCAATATACTTCCATTCATTCAATTTATTAAGCAGATTAGATTATCAGTGTTTGAGGCTTATAACCACAGAAGGAGAGATTCAGCTTTGAGACAGAGTTGGGAGAAATCAAAGCAATACAAGTTTAATGAGAACAGTTGATTAGCGTTTCCTTTGTTTTACAGTATCAACTTCAGGAAATGTTCAGCAGCTTGCGAATTGAAGAATGATCATTCTAGACTACTTTAGGCGAAATAGACTGTTCTAAAACCTTTACGAATGAAATCATAACGTAAGCGACAGTTTACAGTTAGTGGTTATATGTGGTTGTAACTGTTTAAAAATTTATAGCGGCCTGTAGTTAGAACAATTTTTTCAATTCTCTCAAGTAGCACAAACATAAGAGTATCTGTCAAAGTCATGGTAACGTCCACCAATTCCCAGATGTGAGGAAATACAAAGTATACTTTTAATTGAGCAATAAAATGCTGTCATGAATCCTAAATTACTACACTAAAGGGACCATTTGAAAATTATATCATGCTGAGAATGAAATAGCGATCTAGAAAGATAAAAATGATTTAGACAGAATTTTAAAAAACATTTTACAAGGTTTAGAAATTTTGTTTAATTTGTTTTTCAAATCTTGTATAGTTTCTATATTATAATTCCATAACGCTATTTCTGCATTTTTGAAGTATTGCTCATAACCTTTTCGAATAAAAAGGGCCGGTGTGCAGTATTCCACCAACACACAGTGAGCTGAAAAATATAGCTACTGATAAAGGCCAACCGAGACCATAGACTTTAATACTAAGATAATTTACGGTTGGTCCCTCCTACGATGATGGCTCTTCGAGGAACCCTACTCGTCACCGACCTAACAGCAAGCGAGTCAACGTCATCAATTGGATAATGATAGATAATTGGTCCATGAGAGGCGGAGACAGAGAAAAGAATGTGAGAGAAGTCCATAGTATGACATAAAGAACACCAAAACCGACCCTTTTGCAACAGCCCACTTCCTCAATTATTCTATTAACGCCAATAAGCTCAAACCTACGTGTATGTATGTCGTTTACAACGTATCTATAAGAATATGTACATCCATGTATATATGTGTGTGTGTGTTTTGTTCCACTATGTCGGGGTAATGATGACCCAGACATCTATACCTTTGTCTGGATCGTGTTTTATGCACGTGGATATAGGAAGACTGAAAGCGCACTGTTGTTGTCGTATACATCTACACCATTTTTCCTTACTGATCTCTCGACATTTTATAATTATAGATTGTAAAATGTTACATTATGATTTATGTATAAGATTTTAGTAACATAGCAAAATGACTATTTCTCTGTGTTAAATTTTACGAATAATTTGTGTTAGAACGTAAATCTTAGCGCACGTAGTTAAGCATACATGGTTATGCATGCTTATCGGCCTGTCTGTAAGATTACCTCATGTTGCTTTAGCTTAAACAGTATTGTTAGTATAGCCAATTTAAGTTATTTTGGAAGTATTTCTACGCACTCCTGGTTTATAGGTAACTACGTCAGAGTCTTATCCAGATTCAAAATATCGGATCCCGTGGTTAGGGCGCTCGATTAGCAATCTCAGGGTCGCGGGTTCGAATCCCCGTTCCATCAAACATGCTCACCCTTTCAGCCGTGGAGGCGTTATAATGTGACGGTCAATCCCACTATTCGTTGGTAAAAGAGTAGCCCAAGAGTTGGCGGTGGGTGGTGATGACTAGCTGCCTTCCCTCTAGTCTTACACTGCTAAATTAGGAACGGCTAGCGCAGATAGCCCTCGTGTAGCTTTGCGCGAAATTCAAAACAAACAATACAAAATATCTAAGAGTTACGCCGACGAAGCCTATTACATTTTTATAGAAGTAACTAAAAAAAAAGTAAGGAAAACAAATACAGAAGCGAGCAAACAAATATGTCAGGTAATCAAAGTTAAAAACTAATGATCAGTTATTAAACGGTGGTCATGCTCAACAGTAATGGAAGAAAATGTGTAATGTTGACATGGAAATATGTTACTTCAGATTGGAAGACCCACTGTTCAACTACGAACTGAAACTTATTGTACACTCGATCGATCAATAGTTATGATTCTTACCCCATGACGTGTATGTTATTTTGGAAGGAAAGATTGAATAAAATAGGAAAAAAAATCTTCAAGAAAAGATAATCTCTACATTAAAGCATAGAGATGATTCATTATTTTAGAATGAGACAACGAAATGTAATTCACATCTGCCTTTAATGCTGGTTTTAGCAAGTATGTGAGAACGGTAATTTCGGTTTCTAGAGTTTGAATTTTGTTGCCTGTTTGTTACTAATCTTCAATTTTTAGGAAATTTCATCTTCATCCCACGTTATACACACACACGCACACACACACACACACACATATATATATACATATTGTGTTACACTGTAAACCAAACTTTCTTTTTGTCACTGGTTTCATGACTAGCTGCTACTCCTTCAAATAATAATAACAAGTAAAACTTTCTTTTGTCACTGGTTTCATGACTAGTAGCTACTCCTTCAAATAATAACAGGTAAAACTTTCTTTTTTGTTACTAGTTTCATGACTAGCTGCTACTCCTTCAAATAATAACAGGTAAAACTTTATTTTTTGTTACTGGTTTCGCAACATAACACCCACTGGTTCAAATAATAACAAACCAAATTTAGTTAAAATCTCAAATGAGAATGATAGAAAAAGAGAAGTTTCAAAAATATGAAATTTAATTTATTAAAACTATTACAATTTTCAATTGTACCTGAAAAGTAGCTGCTGCGTCACGAAACCTGTAATAAGAACTTTAGAAAATTATATCTATAAATAAAATCACCAAGAGTTGCATGTATTATTTATGCTCTCTTTTGGAAAAGTGTACTTCTTTGTTTAAATTATATATACACATATAATCTTCCTTATTTGCACTTATTCAACTTAGAATGCTTTATGCCTGGAACATTAATTGAAGACACACTTGTGCAACTTATAAAGGTTAATAATTTGGACGAAGCTCTTAGCTGCATGAAGACGTTTTACAGGATATTAGCAATATTTTTCAAGTCACCTATAGCATCATTCAAGTATATCTATATATTTTTTCAAATAAAAGGTTTTTGATAATAAAAGGACCAATAATCTAACAGGAAGGAGGAGCAACCAACCATGGTGCCACGTGATGCTTCAAGTTTAGCCACACGTGCACAGGAAACTCGTGATTGGTTTAATCAAGCGGCTATTGGGCGGAGCCACGTATTAATTTGTAGATAAAACGAAGTCAGGCAAGGAAAGCGTTTAGCTTCCACCCAGATTGAAATCTCTTCAACTAAACCCAATTGCCGTTCAATTCTGCCATTTGGGTCTCGTTAAATTTAAGTAGACGGTGGGCAGATACGAAGACGTAGCAAGACTCATCTCTTCCCTACAGTCCTGCTTGCTTCGATAATCTCCACAAAGGTAAGTTTACATTCATTAGCTGTATATTAAGTAACTCGTGCCACTTATAGTCAATTAACACTATAATAGAAAATGACCATAGCTGACTATGGTTTTTGATCTTTGGTCATGCTTGTAGTTTCTTTAAATGTTTACGATATTTATTGTAATTATATTTATAGGGTATTGTATTTTGATTTCATCTTTCGTATTGAAGTGCGCTTATAAATAAATAAATATATTTATATTCTACGTCGAGTACTGCTTTTCAAAAATAGTGAACCAAGTTGTATGTGTTCGACGTTTAACAGTTTTCCCTCATATCTCTATTGGTTTTGACCAAAAAGTGAAGTTAACCCTCTCTCTCTGTATATATATATATATATATATATATTCAAAGTCTGTAGTAATAAATAGAACATACCGTTGAATCTAGGAAACATATAGTTATAACACTTGAGATTCTTGTATTGTTCTGTTTATAACGCTTCCCATACTTATTTTATAATAATGTTCTGACACAATATCTTTATAACAGCTCCCGTGTTTAATATTATTGATAACAAGATTGTAACATCGTATCCTGAAATGGTAAGAGTTATTGCGCTTAATATTAATTATAACACGTTGAAATATACTGTCCACATGACAACAACAGTGTGTAATGTTGATTGTAACTAGTTGTAACATAGTGTCTGTATTGTAGTATTCACGTTTAATATTGATTATAACAGGTTGAAATATAGTGTCTACATTACAACAACAGTGTGTAATGTTGATTGTAACTAGTTGTAACATAGTGTCTGTATTGTAGTATTCACGTTTAATATTGATTATAAGAGGTTGAAATATAGTGTCTACATTACAACAACAGCGTGTAATGTTGATTGTAACTAGTTGTAAAATAGTGTCTCGATAGTAGTATTCACACTTTGATATTTATTATACAGAATTATAATACAGTGTTCTGACAGCAGTTAGCGCATACTCTGTATATTGAAAATAGAATTATAAGTGTAGTTAACTATTATTATCTCCATAGTAACGTAGGCTGAGGTACAAAGCTGAGAATAAAAGTAAAACAACGAAAGTCGTATTTCAAACAATCACAAATAAAATAGAAATTTATTCAACACTATGAAAAACTATGGAACTGTCACTGTAAACAGCTGTGTTAAACAACTGATGATTTAATGTATTCAACATCATGAAAAACTATGGAACTGTCACTGTAAATAGCTGGGTTAAACAACTGATGATTTAATGTATTCAACACCATGGAAAACTATGGAACTGTCACTGTAAACAGCTGGGTTAAACAACTGATGATTTAATGTATTCAACATCATGAAAAACTATGGAACTGTCACTGTAAACAGCTGGGTTAAACAACTGATGATTCAATGTATTCAACACCATGAAAAACTATGGAACTGTCACTGTAAACAGCTGGGTTAAACAACT